GTCCAAAATGTCGTACAACGTGGGGTCTTATGACTTGGTCAAAATAGCAAGCAGCTGTCACGTCATTTCCTCATCCTGGACCAAGATTCTGGAACACCACAGTGTCAACTACAGTCGAATCTCTCAAAACCGACAGCCCTCCAATCCGGCGTGCTCTCAATATCGGCACTAGAATTTGGTCCCGGCAAAAGCTAGTTCATTTATTATCATTTACACGCCCTCTAATCCGGCTTCAGTCTATTCCGTATTTCGGCAAAACAAAGACCACCCAATTGACTGTTTGTACAGTAATTAACGCTCTCTAAACCGGAATTGATTGGCTGAACGTATATCAACAACACAGTGGATTACCATCGGCTCATTGATGTTGCCTAATAAAAGGAGTATGGATAATGCCAAAGTAGGTGAGGTAAATTGATGAGTGACACGTGTCACTTGGATACTTGCTTGATATGCTGAAAGACATCAGATACTTTGCGAGGTAAGGTTGTTACTCGCAACACGTTGTTCAGTCGTATTTTACGGCATAGTGAAGATCATTCTCAGGTTGAAGAGGGAAAAGTTCTCTAAACCGGCACTCCCTCTATACCAGCATTTTTTGCCGGCCCCAACGAATGCCGATTTAGAGAGCCTCCGCTGTAACTGGTTCAGACAGATTGGAACCCACACCATGATGCTTGGACCACCCCACGAGTCTCTTTCAACAATACACAAATTGGAAAACAGTTCCCCATGCCTTCACCATACTCTCACTCTGTCATCGGTTGTCGAAACACAATATCGGCTTTCATGAGATAAAAGCACAGTTCTCCATTGTCAATAATGCCAATTTTGATACTGAGTTGCCCATTTTGGTCGGTTTTGGCGGTGAGGACAGGACTATGATATGATCTGTGACAGCAGATGTTTCTTCCACGTGAACGTTGACGCACTGTATCAGCACTGATGGGTCTGTTGTGAGTCCCAATGGTCTGACGTGCTGTCTCCCTCGCTCTGGGGAAGCGATCATGCAGATGGTTGCACACAATCTGTCGGTCTTGACGTTGGGATGTCACTGAAGGTCGCCCACTGCGTGGATGGTCTTGGATGCTGTTAGTGGCCTGATACCACTCCTGCAGTCAGTAGATTGTCCTAACATGAACATTAAAATGATTGTGCAGTCTGGACAACTTGCAATCATCCCCAGAATCTCGTAAGTCGTGGCATGGTGATTGTGTCAAAACAAAAATGATTTCATGCGAGGTTAGGACTCGCTTTCATTGGTAGGGTGTCATGGCATGCACGTGCATTTTTATTTTCACGATTGTCATACGGAACCTTTCACCACGTCTGCCTTTTTCGATGCGTTTGGTTGATGTGCTTTTTTCATCAGAAACACACTGATGTTGGCAATAACTGTCAATTTGGATTGAAAAAACTTGTTAACAAAACGGTACAATCGTAATAAAACACCACCTTTGATTTTGAACGGAGACGTTTCTTTTGTGGTTCAGTATATAATCAAATTCAGTTTTTCGAATATTTATCGGTGAACTTGGATTCAGGGGCTCCTTACATAAATGCCACAATATACTCTATACATGCAATTAACAGTCTTTTATTGAGAAAATTTACTTAATTAACATATGCATGACATACACAAAATTTATCATGCACAAATCTGATTTAAATTATATTTCTATAAATGTTGCAGTACTTCAAGATGGTTTGAATAACATCCGTACAACCATGGACATATGTCTGAGAGACAATGGTCACTACAAGAATATGTTCAAGTTAAATCTAATATAAAGCTTACAAAATGGAAGGAAAAATATATATGATATATTCAGGGATTAAAGTGTACAATTCAGATTTTAAATATCATCAACGACTACCTCCTTCCCCCTCCAAAACACACCAAAAACAGCTGGCATGAAGCTTTAATGTACACCAAACCACATTTTCAACAAATGTGAAGCTTTATTGCACAATGTGCCTTCACTACTCACCAGTGTTGACATACACGACTACACACCCATCAGTGTTGACATACAGGACCACCCACCCACCAGTGTTGACATACAGGACCACCCACCAGTGTTGACATACAGGACCACCCACCAGTGTTGACATACAGGACCACCCACCCACCAGTGTTGACATACAGGACCACCCACCCACCAGTGTTGACATACAGGATCACCCACCCACCAGTGTTGACATACAGGACCACCCACCAGTGTTGACATACAGGACCATCCACCAGTAATGACATACAGGACCACCACCCACCAGTGTTGACATACAGGACCACCACCCACCAGTGTTGACATACAGGACCACCCACCAGTGTTGACACATACAGGACCACCCACCCACCAGTGTTGACATGCAGGACCAGTGTTGACATACAGGACCACCCACCAGTTATGACATACAGGACCACCCACCAGTGTTGACATACAGGACCACCCAACCACCAGTGTTGACATACAGGACCACCCACCAGTGTTGACGTACAGGACCACCCAACCACCAGTGTTGACATACAGGACCACCCACCCACCAATGTTGACATACACGACCACACACCAGTGTTGACATACAGGACCACCCACCCACCAGTGTTGACATACAGGACCACCCAACCACCAGTGTTGACATACAGGACCACCCAACCACCAGTGTTGACATACAGGACCACCCACCAGTGTTGACATACAGGACCACCCACCAGTAATGACATACAGGACCACTCACCAGTGTTGACATACAGGACAACCCACCCACCAGTATTGACATACAGGACCACCCACCCACCAGTGTTGACATACAGGACCACCCACCAGCAATGACATACAGGACCACCCACCAGTATTGACACACAGGACCACCCACCCACCAGTGTTGACATACAGGACCACCCACCCACCAGTGTTGACATACAGGATCACCCACCCACCAGTATTGACATACAGGACCACCCACCAGTAATGACATACAGGACCACCCACCAGTAATGACATACAGGACCGTCCACCAGTAATGACATACAGGAGCACCCACACCAGTATTGACATACAGGACCACCCACACCAGTATTGACATACAGGACCACCCACCAGTATTGACATACAGGACTACCCACCCACCAGTAATGACATACAGGACCACCCACACCAGTATTGACATACAGGACCACCCACCCACCAGTAATGATATACAGGACCACCCACACCAGTATTGACATACAGGACCACCCACCTACCAGTGTTGACATACAGGACCACCCACCCACTAGTAATGACATACAGGACCACCCACACCAGTATTGACATACAGGACCACCCACCCACCAGTAATGATATACAGGACCACCTACCCACCCACCAGTATTGACATACAGGACCACCCACCCACCAGTAATGACATACAGGACCACCCACCCACCAGTAATGACATACAGGACCACCCACACCAGTATTGACATACAGGACCACCCACCAGTAATGACATACAGGACCACCCACCAGTAATGACATACAGGACCGTCCACCAGTAATGACATACAGGAGCACCCACACCAGTATTGACATACGGGACCACCCACACCAGTATTGACATACAGGACCACCCACCAGTATTGACATACAGGACTACCCACCCACCAGTAATGACATACAGGACCACCCACACCAATATTGACATACAGGACCACCCACCCACCAGTAATGACATACAGGACCACCCACACCAGTATTGACATACAGGACCACCCACCTACCAGTGTTGACATACAGGACCACCCACCCACTAGTAATGACATACAGGACCACCCACACCAGTATTGACATACAGGACCACCCACCCACCAGTAATGATATACAGGACCACCTACCCACCCACCAGTATTGACATACAGGACCACCCACCCACCAGTAATGACATACAGGACCACCCACACCAGTATTGACATACAGGACCCCCACCCCAATTAATGACATACAGGACCACCCACCCACCAGTAATGACATACAGGACCACCCACCCACCAGTAATGACATACAGGACCACCCACAGCAGTACTGACATACAGGACCACCCACCCACCAGTAATGACATACAGGACCGTCCACCAGTAATGACATACAGGAGCACCCACACCAGTATTGACATGCGGGACCACCCACCCAGTATTGACATACAGGACCACCCACCAGTATTGACATACAGGACTACCCACCCACCAGTAATGACATACAGGACCACCCACACCAATATTGACATACAGGACCACCCACCCACCAGTAATGACATACAGGACCACCCACACCAGTATTGACATACAGGACCACCCACCTACCAGTGTTGACATACAGGACCACCCACCCACCAGTAATGACATACAGGACCACCCACACCAGTATTGACATACAGGACCACCCACCCACCAGTAATGATATACAGGACCACCTACCCACCCACCAGTATTGACATACAGGACCACCCACCCACCAGTAATGACATACAGGACCACCCACCCACCAGTAATGACATACAGGACCACCCACACCAGTATTGACATACAGGACCCCCACCCCCAATTAATGACATACAGGACCACCCACCCACCAGTAATGACATACAGGACCACCCACCCACCAGTAATGACATACAGGACCACCCACAGCAGTACTGACATACAGGACCACCCACCCACCAGTAATGACATACAGGACCACCCACACCAGTATTGACATACAGGACTACCCACCCACCAGTAATGACATACATGACCACCCACACCAGTATTGACATACAGGACCACCCACCCACCAGTGCTGCCATACACGACCACCTCCGCACCAGCGTTGCAACATTGTGACCACCCACCCACCAGTGTTGACATACACAACCACCCACAAATGATGATGACATGTGACCACCCACCCTACAGCTTTCACATACACGACCACCCACCCACCAGTGATGACATACATCACTACCCACCAGAAGTCCAATAACCAGTTTTGAAGATCTCCAGATATCACTCTGGTACTTTTCAAATCCACCATCCTGCGGTAGGAAAAGAATATATGTATATGAACAGTTTCATCCCTGCGTTTTACCCACCACCAGTTAGAGAAAGCATAGCCTTTGTTACAGCAGAGAAGCAAGTATATTGGAGCATACATTGGCCTTCATACCTGTTGTAGAATTAAGACCTGTGCCCCCAAACAGTCCGCCTGAAGTCCCCAGTGTTGATGTTCCTAGTCCACTAGCAGCCCCACCTAGTGTACCAGTACTCAGTCCTACTACAGGAGGGGCACCTGTTGAGAAAAGGATAACATACTATTGGCCGAAGTTGCAGATTGAGTACATGGTGAAGATGACCATACATAGCATTCTGCAACAGAGTAGTATAGTACATATAAACTAGATAAAAACTGTTTCCAGTCTAGCAACCTAAAGAATTCAGCTACCTTTTCAGGTCCACGCTAAGCTTATCTTTTATGTGCGTGAATCAATCTTATCACTGAATATTCCAGATGGTCTATGTGAGCTTGTGGTTTAAAGCTGCACTCAGCAGTAGCCCAGCTACATAACCCACCTGTCTGAACCAGACAATCTGATGATTGATATTGTGAACAAAGGACCATAGGCTGACACACCATTATCCTTATCACCGAGTCTGACCACCAAGGAGTCCATTTAGTGAACCTGTTGTAGTGCTAAGGTGATTGTTACTCCAATGACCTAACTTAAGACTTACAACTGTTGTAATGCTACGATCCCTTTATAGAATGGTCACCTGTTGTGACTGACGCAGGTTGTTGGAGACAATTTCTAACCAGGAATTGCAAAATACTTACTGATACATCATACCTAAAAAATCTCCAAATTACTATTAGCCACTTGTTACGAGTGTAGTGTCTCTACTGAACGATAAACATCATGAAAAACTTCATACCAACTTAAAAACAGGACATGTTCATAGCAGACAGTGCACAGCTTAATGATACACTCTTACTAGTGTCTATGAAAATTGATAACCTCTGATTGTTCTTTCGTAGACTGCAATACTGTTAAAATGAACTATGGAAGTAATCATACTTGGGTTTTTTTGCTGCAAATTCATAACAAATACAGAAGATTTGGGGGAGCTGGAAGCTATAAATCATTAATGTCAAAATGCAAACAAATAGAGTACAGAAACTGTCTGACCTGCTGGTTGCTGTGATCTATTAAGGACAGAGGCCATGGCGGCAGCAGCAGCGTTGGTCATCCCTGTGAACGGCGTGGGACCAGCCGGGTCCAGTGTACGGGCAGGTGGAACGGTCACAGGAGCTTTCTGTTGTTTCTCAAAAATATTCTTGGTGTCTCCATGGAAGATCTTTCTATAGTTCAAGTAGTGCTCCTTTTGTGTCTGAAGAAACAAGTATCAGAAGATGAACTGAGATGCCAAGACCAAATACATGAGAAAAGTGTTTGTATTGTATGCAAAGCAGACATGACAGAGTATTTGAAGTGTCTAATGGTCTGTAACCTTGACCTTGACCTTGTAACAGGTCACCAAAAGATTAGTGTTCTTAAAAACCAAGCCTATGTATATTTGCAAAGTTTCTCTGGTCTGTGAGTAACGTTGCTTTGTTTGGTTGTTGCATAACATCAACCTCAGCAACGTTCCTGTAAATGACTGCGTGTTTGATCAAGTGACTGATATGTGAACAATGACCAATGATACCGATCACACGGTCCTGCGAGTCATCGGAAACAAACATAGAATGCCAAGGATGAAATCTAACCTTAACAGCCTCATTGACCTGATGAAGTTGAGCAGCGAGGGCAATGAAGGTTTCGTGCAGCTTCTTCATCAGAGCTATCAATTCTGCAGTAAAACAAATACATGTCATCTTCACAATGCTATGGACCTGAGTTACAAGATAGACAGTTAAACCCAATGACAATATTGGGGGCTATTTTATAATTTAATTCCAGGTGGAGTATAAAATATTACTGATGAATTGAAACTATGAAAATTACTGTTGGCAAAAACGCATTGATAATATGCAGTTAAAAAAAAACAGAACTCAGGACCACAAACAATCTACATCAGGGCACATTACAACAATGGACTAAGCATAACCACTCAATATTGTATAAAGGCATCATGATAAGCCCTGAGAGCCAGCGATATAATATATCCTGGATACCCTGGGAGAAAAGCCGTACTAGTTCAGTCTTGACGTGACAGACAGCAACAAACATACCAACAATAGATGTACATAAATGACAGAAGTATATCAACTAAACAGGTTGAGTATAGAGAGCGTGGAGGGTGAACGTACCAGCTGGAGAGTGTCTGGTGGGCTGGTGTAGGGCCGCCAGATGGTTCTCCAGAGTCTCAATCTGCTGTCGGTACGTGATCATTCTTCCTTCAAACTCTTCCACCAGCTGCTGGAAGTAGCTGCAACACAGGAAAGATGATGAGTCTTCAACTGTAGTTTGTTGTGATCCAGTAACACACTACATAAGGCTTTGGCATCATATAATAATGTAATCACAATCAATCACAGGGGGAATCTGTTGTGTTTTCCTGTACTGACATGGCAGATGCTCCTGTACAACACACTGACATGGTAGGTGCTCCTGTACAACACACTTACATGTCAGGTGCTCCTGTACAACACACTTACATGGCAGGTGCTCCTGTACAACACACTGACATGGCAGGTGCTCCTGTACAACACACTAACATGGCAGGTGCTCGTGTACAACACACTGACATGGCAGATGCTCCTGTACAACACACTTACATGGCAGATGCTCGTGTACAACACACATGGCAGGTGCTCGTGTACAACACACTTACATGGCAGGTGCTCGTGTACAACACACTTACATGGCAGGTGCTCTTGTACAACACACTTACATGGCAGGTGCTCGTGTACAACACATTTACATGGCAGGTGCTCTTGTACAAACACACTTACATGGTTGGTGCTGTGTTCTCATACTGGAGTCCTGGAGGGATGTCCTTGGTCCTCTGGGCCATCTCAGCATTCTTCAGCTCCTGGGTAACAAGGAGGATTGATTCAAGATGTAATACAGTTAGCTGTTAGCTGCTGTCAAGTTTTTCTGTGAACTATTAGTTGAAGCAACTGTAAACCATGAAACTTGGTGCTAACTGAGCTAGTTGCACACTCAGAGTGAGTGAGTTTGGTTTTACGCCGCTTTTAGCAATGTTCCAGCAATATCACGGCGAGGGACACCAGAAAGGGGCTTCACACATTGTACCCATGTGGGGAATCGAACCGCGAGTCTTGGCGGCGAACGAACATGTTAACCACTAGGCAACCCCACCGCACCGCACACTCAGAGGTGTGTGTGTGTGTGTGTGAGCACATCTTCTTGAGAAAGGGGTGTGGGTGTGGGTGTGGGTGTTGCACATTTCATTTAATAAACTATCAGGACATAGGAGGGAGGGAGGGAGGGAGAGAATGAGAGTGAGAGTGAGAATGAGAGCGAGAGTGAGACAGAGAGTGAGAGTGAGAGTGAGAGAGAGAGTGTGAGAGTGAGAGTGAGAGTGAGACACCTTCAGAGAATCACAGCCGATGTGAATCAGTACAGTTACCAAATATATTTTTCATTTCGTGTGGCAGACTAGATTCAATTCAGTCAGATGTAATGCACAATGTTTACATTTTTGCCTGATAAAATACTGTCGGCTGTCTTCGAACAAGATACATTACTCCAGTCAGATCGGAAACAGGTTCACCAGGAGAATTGGAAATTTTAATATAAATTTGGAAATTTTAATATAAATTGTATATTTATATACTTATCTCACGACTTGCACCTCTCTCTCCTGCTTCGGCTTTTAGTGGAATGACTGTAAACATTTTTCTATAGGCCTCCATTCGCCCGTGCACTCCATGCTGCTCTCCTTAATTAGCTTCCTAGTTCCTAATAAAGCTTGCAACATGCTCCACTAATTGCCCACGTGACTACCTTCTCATCTTGGAGCCAACGTTGTAATCTGAGTAGTGGGGAGGCCAGGCGGGCATCCATCGTGTGAGATAGGATAAGTATGTAAATATACAATTTATATTAAAATTTCCAAAGTTGCGACTTGCACACGACTTGCACTTATCCAACGGTTGGACGGCTGGCCGCAGATTACCCTTCTGTCTGGACAGTGCAAACAGCTGGTCTTGGAGCTGTGTGGACTGATGACAACTGTAGGAGGCCTGTTACAAATGCACGCAACTCCTATGCTTGTAGTGGGTTCTCCGGAACCCCTTGGCTTACTAAGCACAACGACTCTCAGGGAGATGGGTGCTCCCGAGCGATGTGGTGTTCGGCCGCAACCTTGTACAAGACAAGGGATGCAACTCAGTAAGTAAGCCTTGCCTCGCCACTATTTACAAGGTACCCCCGTAATTAAAGGCTTGCAACTAGAATCAGTCCAGCCCCTGCTTCAAGAAGGCCCCCCAGACACCGACTGAGGCGGGTGAAAGAGAAACACAACTCAGCATCTCCAAGGTTTAACGTTCAGTTCCAGGCAGCATCAAATTGACCCTCACTGCTTTGCCCAAGGTTAGTCAAAGGATGTGCCTGGCAACTTTGAAGGCAGAACGCAACGAAATCCACTGGAATTCGGGAGTGTCACACTTCACTGACGTAATTGCTCCATGGAGTAGAGGTCAGTAAGCGTGAATGTCGAACACCTCTGCATCGTCATACTAATCGTGCCTCAGATCCATAGGGCTACGCTAGGTGGCGGTATTCCAATGCCTTGGTATGGAGGCCAAGTGAAGAAGTTCTTAAACCCATATAATGAGAACAAAAGGTTGAGATCCAGTTCAACTTTTATTCAGTATAGACTAGGAAGTAGTAACGCGAATGCAGAACCGTCCCTCATCTGCGTTGTTGGGCCGATGTAAGCTGCTGAGCCAGTACAAGAGGTCCGAACTGGTGTAGCCCCTGGACATCCATGACAGACAGGTCTCGCAGGTAATGTGAAGAGAAGACTGTATCAGAACGCCAGAAGCAACCTTCCATGATAGCGGTCAAGGAGCAGTTGCTATGGAGGGCCATCATCGAGGCTAGTGCACGAGTCTCATGAGGATTGGAAGTGGCTGGAAGAGGCAACCCTGCAAAGGTGTAGGCTCACAGGATCATGGCACGCATCCAGAAGGCCAATGTGGTCCGGGAAACCTCAGTTTTGAAGCGGTCGACAAGGGTATGAAGAGGCGCTTCCGTAGCTGTCGACGATCCTTGGAGGCAGCAAGGTAATCGTGTAGAGCCCTAACAGGGCAGAGTGTCAAATCAAATCATTATCATCAGGCCCAAGAATGGTGGACAACGGGGGAATGTTAACATCCGGTCCGGTTGCCTTGGCAGTTGGTGTTTCGCAATGAAGTCCCAGCGGAGACCCAGGAAAGCCTTGTCATGCTTCTTCCGCTCGAACTGCACCCGATCAAGAGCATGCAGTTCAGATATATGAGCAGCGGTAGCCAAAGCTACCAGGAAGAATGTCTTGAATGTCACTTGTTCGAAGTCCTTGTCTTCTAAAGGTTCATAGTCTGTAGAAATCATATGACGAAGGACGACGAACAGATCCCAGGCCAGAGGTCTGAACTTCCTGGACTGGTCAGAGAGTCTATAGGAGCGTAGTAGACTGTGCAACTCAGGAACAGTGCAAATCTTCGAGTCTGTGGTGGTAGCCAAAACTGAGTTGATGGCAGCTAAGTAGGTAGCTAACATAGTACCATTGAGTTTCTTAGTAGTGCGGAGATGCTGGAGAAACTCAGCAACGACCTGAGCCGAGGTGAAAGTGGGAGATGCAATTCCTCTAACCTTGCAATAGTCTTCAAACTTCTTCCACTTGTTGAAGTACGATGTGCTAAAGTGATAGCTGTGGCTACTCGGCGAGAGTAGCCCTTAGCTATGAAAGACCTCTGAAGATGCGCCAAATGTGTAGATTGAGGGTCTGAGGTGACCCGTGGCGCAGTTCCGAGTGAGAGTGAAGAAGTAGGTCGTCCTGGTTGGGAAGCGGTACTGGGTTTGGCTCTGCCAGGCTTCTTAGGTTGACAAACCAACTTCTCGCTGGCCAGAAGGGTGCGACCAAAAGCAGTGGTATGCTGCTAGCGGCCAATAGTTTCTGTATTACTTTTGGTAGCAGAGCTGGAGGGGGAAACGCGTAGGCATTGAGACCCTCCCATGATATTGCCAACGCGTCAAGATCCCACACCAAGGAGTCTGTGATTGGTGATACGAACGTGTGGCAAACAGATCTATTTGAGGCCGTGATAACGGGTAGATAATCGACTGAAAGATCTGGAGCAGTAACTTCCACTCTGTCGGGGATGGTCAGTTGGATCGGGACAAGGCATCGCCGATCACATTTTTTACTCGAGAATGTGTCTGGCTCTGGCTACGATGTTGAGTGAGTCGATGAGATGGAAGAACCTGATCGCCCATTGTAGCCGATTCGCCGAGCCTGTCGAGCCTAGATGAGTTATGTACCAAACCACTGTCAAATTGTCTGATTGGATCAACAGACTGGTTGATTGAAGCCCAATGTGAGATGGCTTGAATTATCGCCTTGAATTCCAGCTCGTTTATATGAAGTACCCGTTCGTCTGATGACCACAGCCCGGACACTTGGTGGTCGGGAAGTGAGCTCCCCAACACATGAGGGATGCATCGACAAATAGGTGATGAGTCTGTCCAAAGGGCATCATAGAAACTCTGGCGCAAACATTTCGTTCGTCGAGCCACTATTGAAGGACTGGACAAAGCGGTTCTGGAAGGCAAATTAGTTCCTTGGGGTTGTCGGCCTGAAGGTACGGGCGTAGAAATTGCTGTATCGGCCGAAGTTGGAGCTGAGCCTCTGTACGTTAAGGCTTGAGCTGACGTCAGAAGGCCCAGTAGCTCCTGCCACTGCCGTAAGGTTCTGCCTGAGACAGTCCTGGAGGAATGCATTGCTGAATCTTTATCCACCTGTCGTGAGGTACGAACATCATCCCCTGACGAGTGTCGAACAGTGCTCCGATGAATTGGAGTTTCTGAGTCGGTATTAGTTGCGATTTCGCAATGTTCAACAGCCACCCTAACTGTCTGAGCAGCGTGGTGGTGAACTGTAGCTGGCGAAGCAATACGATTGGATCCTGTTGAGCCTGGATGCAATCGTCTATGTAGCTTTTGAAGGTGATCCCTTGAAAGTGGAGGAAGCTCGTTATGGGCTTGGTAATTCGGGTAAAAAGCCACGGGGCCCCCGGAAATTCCAAATGGTAGGACTTTCCATTGGTAGTGATTCCCGTTGAACACGAAGCAAAGGTACTTCCGGTGATCTGGATGTATTGGAACGTGAAGATAAGCATCCTGAAGATCTAGGCTGATGAGGAAGTCTCCCTTCTTCAGGATGGTGTGTAAAAGGTTGATCGACACCATCCTGAAGTGAGGCGGTGGAAGCAGGAATCGGGCATTGAACAACTTCATATTGAAGATGAGCCGGAGTTTGTTGGAATTTTTCTTTTGAACCAAGAAGATGGGGGAGTAGAATCCTGGAGTGACGCGCGATGGACCTAGGAGCTCTATCGCGAGTTTGTCTAATAGCGTACCTATTGTGGATCGCAGAGTCTGAAGCTGGTCCACAGGATATGAGCGATGAGCCGGATGCGACGTCAGAGGTGGACTGCCAATAACGGGTAGCTGATAGCCGTGAAGTAGCAGGTTGGTGACGTACGGATCTTTGAGGATAGTCCAATTCGGGGCGAAGATCTGCAATCTCCCGCCTACCGGAGTGTTGTAAATCGGAACGACTGGGGCCAAGGGGGGGGCAACCACGGCCAGATCTGTTTCCTCTGACACAGCCTTGAGTGGATGTGCCACGAAAAAGATTTCGTAAATCCCCTCCGTGATCTGGATCGATTAGGTGATCTGGATCGGTCCGATTATCTACTTTGATGTTGTGATCTGGATCTCTCCAGTGATCTGTTTTTGAAGTTGTGATCTGGACCCGTTTTGTGATCTGGATCGGCTAGGCTGTAACTTGATACGCTTGGCGGGAGTGCGATCAGATTCTGTTGATTTCCTGTCCCTATATCGATGCTCGGGGAGCAAACCACGAAGGTAGGCCTTTAAATCCTCATTTTTAGTGAATTACACTTGCCACATCGTTTGTTCCAGTTACATTGTCCAATACAGTCACTGCAAGACGAGTGAGGGTCGAGGGACGAATAGTTCGTCTTGCATTGAGCACAAACTTTCCTTTTCCTTGACTGATTATCAGTTTTCCCCATGATGATAGGGTGAAATAATGTCCCTAATATACAGCTCGTCCACACAGTCGTGCGACAAGAAAGAGAATGATCATTCAAGGTAGTCACGTGGGCAATTAGTGGAGCATGCTGCAAGCTATATTAGGAACTAGGAAGCTAATTAAGGAGAGCAGCATGGAGTATATGGGCGAATGGACAAGGAGGCCTATGGAAAAAAGTTTACAGTCGTTCCACTAAAAGTTGAAGCAAGAGAGAGAGGTGCAAGTCGTGAGATAGGATAAGTTTAAAAATCTGTGAATTCTGGGAGTTTTGATACTGAGAAAAAAAACAATTCAGTTCACCACATCAGTAGCTATTTGATTTTAAAAACACCCAACACTGTATTTTCAAATCCTGTTTCTCAAAGATCTAAGCAAACAGTGAGATTTTTTTTTTATCAAGCAAAGACATTAAGGTTTAAATAATTCTTTAACAATTTCCTGCAATATCACTAGTTGGGACACAGGAAACCACATCAGGAACTGAACCAGGGTTCATTGGGTAACAAGCAAACACCAGTCTACTTCACTATCCATATCATTCAGAGTGTCTCTTACGTGTGCCATTTCTTTCTTGAGTTTGTCCACAGCACAGGCATTTCTCTGGAGCCCATTGGAGACGACAGAGAGCAACTGCTTGAGTGCAGCAACATCCTCCTGCACCTTAAGCATGGGCTTGGTGGACATACGTGCAATGTCCTCCCGTACTGTCTTCTCATCCTTCACATACTTCCTGAAACACAAGCACACAGCACTGGGACATGTGACCAACACATAGATTCCTACAAACACTTCCTGAAACACAAGCACACAGCACTGGGACATGTGACCAACACATAGATTCCTACACATACTTCCTGAAACACAAGCACACAGCACTGGGACATGTGCATACTTCCTGAAACACAAGCACACAGCACTGGGACATGTGACCAACACATAAATTCCTACACATACTTCCTGAAACACAAGCACACAGCACTGGGACATGTGACCAACACATAGATTCCTACACACACTTCCTGAAACACAAGCACACAGCACTGGGACATGTGACCAACACATAGATTCCTACACATACTTCCTGAAACACAAGCACACAGCACTGGGACATGTGACCAACACATAGATTCCTACACATACTTCCTGAAACACAAGCACACAGCACTGGGACATGTGACCAACACATAGATTCCTACACACACTTCCTGAAACACAAGCACACAGCACTGGGACATGTGACCAACACATAGATTCCTACACACACTTCCTGAAACACAAGCACACAGCACTGGGACATGTGACCAACACATAGATTCCTACACACACTTCCTGAAACACAAGCACACAGCACTGGGACATGTGACCAACACATAGATTCCTACACACACTTCCTGAAACACAAGCACACAGCACTTGGGACATGTGACCAACACATAGATTCCTACACACACTTCCTGAAACACAAGCACACAGCACTGGGACATGTGACCAACACATAGATTCCTACACACACTTCCTGAAACACAAGCACACAGCACTGGGACATGTGACCAACACATAGATTCCTACACACACTTCCTGAAACACAAGCACACAGCACTGGGACATGTGACCAACACATAGATTCCTACACATACTTCCTGAAACACAAGCACACAGCACTGGGACATGTGACCAACACATAGATTCCTACACATACTTCCTGAAACACAAGCACACAGCACTGGGACATGTGACCAACACATAGATTCCTACACACACTTCCTGAAACACAAGCACACAGCACTGGGACATGTGACCAACACATAGATTCCTACACACACTTCCTGAAACACAAGCACACAGCACTGGGACATGTGACCAACACACTTCCAGAAACACAAGCACACAGCACTGGGACATGTGCATACTTCCTGAAACACAAGCACACAGCACTGGGACATGTGACCAACACATAGATTCCTACACATACTTCCTGAAACACAAGCACACAGCACTGGGACATGTGACCAACACATACTTCCTGAAACACAAGCACACAGCACTGGGACATGTGACCAACACATAGATTCCTACACACACTTCCTGAAACACAAGCACACAGCACTGGGACATGTGACCAACACATAGATTCCTACACACACTTCCTGAAACACAAGCACACAGCACTGGGACATGTGACCAACACATAGATTCCTACACACACTTCCTGAAACACAAGCACACAGCACTGGGACATGTGACCAACACATAGATTCCTACACATACTTCCTGAAACACAAGCACACAGCACTGGGACATGTGACCAACACATAGATTCCTACACACACTTCCTGAAACACAAGCACACAGCACTGGGACATGTGACCAACACATAGATTCCTACACATACTTCCTGAAACACAAGCACACAGCACTGGGACATGTGACCAACACATAGATTCCTACACACACTTCCTGAAACACAAGCACACAGCACTGGGACATGTGACCAACACATAGATTCCTACACACACTTCCTGAAACACAAGCACACAGCACTGGGACATGTGACCAACACATAGATTCCTACACACACTTCCTGAAACTAAAGCACACAGCACTGGGACATGTGACCAACACATAAATTCCTACACATACTTCCTGAAACACAAGCACACAGCACTGGGACATGTGACCAACACATAGATTCCTACACACACTTCCTGAAACACAAGCACACAGCACTGGGACATGTGACAACACATAGATTCCTACACACACTTCCTGAAACACAAGCACACAGCACTGGGACATGTGACCAACACATAGATTCCTACACAAACTTCCTGAAACAGACACTGATCATGTTCATGCACCATTTTGTTTCCAACAAGTGAGAAAATATTCCAGGCCACACTGTGCAATATCACAGTGACATGAGATGTCATGCAGTGACTGAAAGCATGAACTTTAATAACATGACACACTGACCATCTGATCAGTCACCTCTTATTATAAACATTACTTACTGGTGACAGATCCAGGGATGAGAATGGGTATGAGTCAAAAAAGAGGAAAATGAGCCGGGGTCTTAGGTTTAAACGATGCACAGGAATGACCCCAGTGCAATCAAATACCAGAAGTCCTTCTCTTATCACTCAGTTATAAAGGACAGTTTTGACAGTGTCACTAGTGATTGTTGTACAGCAGGCTGTCTTAAAAACAGAACATCATGAACTGCATTGTACAGAACATACAATAATTGCTTTACTTACTGGAACACAGTGACAGTTTCCACTAGCATTGCTGGCATTTGGGTCTCTTTCACTGCCTTGCCATCACTGAAATTAAAACATGGACATGGATTAGCACAGCACTGTTGATGAACCTAGATCACTGCTCATTCAGTTTATTATCTATGGGTGCACTGAACAGTAACTAGCTGATTGTAGGGAGATGGACGGAATAGATGACTGCGAGTCCTAGTGTAGATACACTGAGATCACGCCAAAACTCCCCATGTTTTACTCCATGTGTCCATGTCAAAAGCAGACTATCGACTGACCAATGATACACACCACTATGACCAACCACTGGCACACTATGACCCACCATTGTCACACTATGACCCACCACTGTCACTCTATGACCCACCATTGTCACACTATGACCCACCACTGTCACACTATGACCCACCACTGTCACACTATGACCCACCATTGTCCACTACCCACCATTGCACACTACCCACTGTCACACTATGACCCACCACTGTCACCATTGGCACACTATGACCCACACTACACCCACTACTGGCACACTATGACCCACTACTGGCACACTATGACCCACCACTGGCACACTATGACCCACCACTGGCACACTCTATGACCACTGGCACACTATGACCCACCACTGGCACACTATGACCCACCATTGACACACTGGCACACTATGACCCACCACTGTCACACTATGATCCACCCACCACTGGCACACTATGACCCACCACTGGCACACTATGACCCATGACCACCACTGGCACACTATGACCCACCACTTGCACACTATGACCCACCATGACACTATGACCCACCATTGTCACACTATGACCACCACCATGACCCACCATTGTCACACTATGACCCACCACTTGTCACACTATGACCCACCATTGGCACACTATGACCCACCACTGTCACACTATGACCCACCACCAGGCACACTATGACCACTATGACCCACCACTGGCACACTATGATCCCACCATTGTCACACTATGACCCACCATTGTCACACTATGACCCACCACTGTCACACTATGATTTGTCCACCATTGTCACCCACTATGACCCACCACTGGCATATGATCACCATTGTCACTATGACCCACCATTGTCACACTATGACCCACCACTGTCACACTATGACCCACCACTGTCACACTATGACCCACCACTGTCACACTATGATCCACTACTGGCACCCACCATATGATCCACCACTGTCACACTATGACCCACCCACCATTGTCACACACTATGACTGGCACACAACTTTGACCCACTGGCACACTATGACCCACCACTGTCACACCATTATGACCCACCATTGGCACACTATGACCCACCACTGGCACACTATGATCCACCACTGTCACACTATGACCCACCATTGTCACTACTGGCACAATGACCCACCACCATTGGCACACTATGATCCACTACTGGCACACTATGACCCACCACTGGCACACTATCCCACCACTGTCACACTATGATCCACCACTGTCACACTATGATCCACCACCATTGTCACACTATGACCCACCATTGTCTATGACACACCACTGGCACACTATGATCCACTACTGGCACACTATGATCCACTACTGGCACACTATGATCCACCACTGTCACACTATGATCCACCACTGTCACACTATGATCCACCACTGTCACACTATGACCATTGATCACCACTGGCACACTATGATCCACCATTGTCACTATGACACACTATGATCCACTACTGGCACACTACCACTACTGGCACACTGATCCACCACTGTTGCACACTATGATCCACTACTGGCACACTGATCCACCACTGACACACTATGATCCACCACTGGCACACTATGACCCATTACAGGCACACTATGACCAACTACTGGCACACTATGACCCACCACTGGCACACTATTACACACAATTGGCACATAATGACCCACCATCAACAAGTCATTTAGACACACCACCTGCTGATCTTGCTCACCTGGTTTTCCCGGCTGTGCCACTCGTTCCTGTAACACACCATGAAAACATTGTAACACACAGCAACAAAGTTGATAAGATGAAGAGACATGTAGAAAAAAGCACAGAAAGTAGCGATGTGACAAAAACACAGAATCATATGAAATAGAACATCCTTTAAAACATTTGGTCTGATACAGAAAAAACATACACTTTGTTAATATCAAAACAGGGAGATGACAATACTATACACCATATAATAAACAAATACTGGATGTTTGGTATGCGAAGGAAACTTTTGAAGGGTAGCCCAACTGTAACTCAGTAGCTTCAGTCAATTAACAAACCAGGGTTTCAGAACCTCTTATGTTCACCATGTTCACAGTATTTTATTGTATCAATAAATGACATGTGAATATGTTGCTTATATCATGGCAGATTACTCATAACACTGTGATGTGCCAAAAGTTTGGCGAACCATTACACCTCAGTTTCAACTTGCCTTCAGTGACTGTTACAAGTAAGACATCCATCAATAAGGCGTCCATCAATAATTTGATCAAAAACATACACATGCTTGTCCTGGTTAATGGTACAGACATTACTGGCAGCCTTCAACTTACCTCCAGATGCAGTTGATGTTTTGGGATCAACACCTCCAAGGCCAACCGTTGCTGTTGTTGTAGTTGCAGCAGAGAAGATGCTGGCCGGAGCTGCAGTGGCAGCTGCAGCAGTGGGCCCGAACAAGCCCAGACCAGAGCTGGCTGTTGTAGTCGTGGTCAGTCCCCCTACAAACACAGCATCATTTTTGACGGTCAGTTATCAACATACTCCATGCTGCAGAGGTGCTCAGATCCATGGTAGATAGAGATCTATGAACAGTTTAGTTGTAAGTGTGTGTGTTTGGTGTTGAACGGTGAACAGTGCACTCTGTAATATTCAAACAACATGACAGCAACATGTAAATAATCAAGTCTGGATCGGACAATCTAGTGACAGATATCATGTACATTGATCTTTGCTACAAAGCCAGTGGAGTAGAAACAGAAGTCAGAAGCCAGTCAGTAGATGTTTCAATTTAAGTGTAACTCACCACCACCAAACTTTTGACTTGTATTAAATGGAGCAGCATCCACAGCAAGGGCCCCAACTGGCTTCCCTTAACCAGAAACAGGGGTTTATACTGTGCCTTTTGGACTTTTTAACTTAACCAGAAACAGGGGTTTATACTGTGCCTTTTGGACTGTTTTACTTAACCAGGAAAAAGGGGTTATACTGTGCCTTTTGGAACATTTACTTAACCAGAAAATAGGGTTTATTCTGTGCCTTTTGGAATCAGAAGCAGGTGTTTATACTGTGCCTTTTGGAATATTCTACTCAACCAGAAACAGGGGTGTATGTTTATACTGTGCCTTTTGCAATCTTAACATAACCACAAAAAAGGGTTAATGTTGTGCTTTTTGGAATTTATAAGTCAAATAGAAACAGGGGTTTATACTGTGCCTTTTGGAATCTTTTACTTAAGAGTGAGTGAGTGAGTTTAGTTTTATGCTGCACTCCGCAATATTCCAGATATATGGCACATTTTTACTTAAGAAATAGGGATTAGATTCCAAAAGACACAGCATAAACATCTGTTTCTTAGGTTAAGTCTCATTTACTTGAGAAACAGGGGTTTATACTGTGCCTTTTGAAATCTTTACTTAACCAGAAACAGGAGTTTACATTGTATGTATCCTTTACTTAACAGAAACACAGCTTTAAACTATTTCTATTGGAAATATTTTACTGCATCAGACACCTCCTTGTCACCCCTTCATACTGATCATATATACTAGTACCTTGGTTCAAGAATCATGGAAATGTAAATGATCTAATACATTTGATACTTTGTACCACCATCAGTGGAACCTCACGCCAATAACAACAGTGTAATCATTGTGCAACCTGAATTTGCATGATATGAGAAACAGAGAAAATGTAAATACATCTAAATAGCTGATTTGATAACTTTTTGGAAACACTCTTCTGTACAATAATTTCTGTATAGTAACAGTTTAGCTTCACTGTGAAGAAGATAAATCATCACACTATAGTGTAAGCCGCAGTACTTCAATTTGACACATGGCATTAATTACTAGTCAAGAGAATGTAGGCCAGTGTTTCAACCATCTCCTGTTCAAATCTGTGAGATATGATAGCAGAGACAGTGACTACATCAAGTGACAAGTGTGCATACCTAGAGTTGGTGCCACACCGGTTGGTTTGCCAAAATTGAAGCCGCCAGCAGAAGCTGCCCCAATACCAGTAGCTAGGCCGAGACCAGTAGCTGGAGCTGTGACAGTAGTTGTTGCTGCAGCTGTTGTTGTTGCCCCAAGGCCAAAGCTGAATCCACCTGGAGCACTTGTGCCTGCTGAAATATTGCAAGCACTTATGTTCACTGAACGCTGAAACGATTCAACCACATGCTCTGATAAAACAACACAAAACACATGCTCTTCACTGGAACTATTGAACCACGCGGGCCCTGTGACAAAACAATACAACACATGTTCTCTGTTGACGGAACACAACTGCATGCACTCAGCTGAAATAATTCAATCACACAAGCTCTTCTTTGAAACAATTTCGACTAAACACGCTCTTCACTGAAACTATTGAATGACACATGCTCCCTGATGACAGAACACAGTAACACACTCACTGCAGAAACAATTCAACCATACATGCTCGTCACAGAATCTATTCTCTGTTGAAACAGTAACACACATGTTCTCTGCTGAAAGAATACACCCACAAAATAGTGACAAACACAGCAAGCTGTCAGACTGGGCAAAGGGGAGGTAAGACATGTCTATGAGAAAGAATAATGATAGGCCTACCTCCTCCCAAAGCAGGAACAGTTGCCGTTGTTGTTGCTGTTGCCCCAGGAACAGTAAGGGAGAAGCCTCCGGATGCCCCTAGTGATGGGGCAGAGGTGGTAGCAGTTGTACCCCCCAGTGTCCCTGGGAAACCCACAGTCCCACCGAGTGAAAACCCACTCCCAGTGGCCTGGGTGGTAGTTCCGAGTGTGACTCCTGTTGCTGTGGTCCGGGCAGCAGTGGCTCGGAAGCCAAAGCCAGATGCTGTAGGTTGTCCAAATGATATTCCAGTTACCGCTGCAAGTAGAGAGAGAATATCACATGGCATCTGACATATATTTTTCAAATGGTATATATTACATGATTTATCATTCCAAATTTCAAACTGTTAAACATTAAAGACATGTTAATTTAGCCTTTTTAATTAGTCTGGAACACTATGAAATCATGAATTACTTACCAGTAGTTGTTGTTGCAGGGTTGGCACCAAAGTTAAATCTGAAAAAGAGCAAATCTCATAATTCTTGTGCAACATACATCTATTTGTAGAGGTTTTCTATGGAAACACAAGGCCTTAATAACAACCAGAACACTGCAGGTACAGAAGCTTGCCTCATATTCAGAGATATGCAATCTAAGGACTGAGGGCATGCCAAACTAGTTATTAGGTCTAAAATACATGATATACAATAATCAAAGTCAGTCTGCTTCCTGTAATCTAATAGCCAATTATCTGTTACAATTTCCTAAACTTAGTTTTGTCGAATGATTACCTGTAGGTGTTCATTCAACAGTCTTTGATACATGATTTTTTCCAACACTTGCTATCAATGACAAATCTGAGGGAATTGATTTCAGGTTCAGTATCCTGTGTAAGATCACATGGGCAACTGAGATTTTGGACATCACAAGTTATGAAAACGTAATTTCATTATTGGTTACAGTTTTGTCTCTTCGTGACTTTTTGTGATTGTATAAAAAGTCAATACAATTATCTGTTATTCCAAATTTTGTCAGAAATTTTTAGATAACCCTGCCCCTGCTTACACTGACTCTCTGAAGGCAGAGAGGTTCTGAATCTGACTTATTACTCTGTAGGTCCTTAATGTAGCAGTGCGTACAGAGGGTACACGTTTTTTCACTTTGTCAGCTGGCTTGGCAATCGTGATCAAGGTGAGGCTCATTTAATTTTATTTGAAGAATATGTATAGTTTGAAACCCAAGAATTCCCATACAACCAAAGTTTACATACCAAAAGAGTTCTTGGAACAGTTATTTTGAATAAAATATGAAGTTTTACTTCCAAACAATACCACTGGCTTTTGGAAACATGTAACCTCTTCAGTAAGACTTCCGCCCGTATCCCCCCTATATATTTAACGATGAGGAAAAAGTTCTTTGAGTGGCATTTTAATTTTAGAAGTCTTTCAGTATGTTCAGATACAATTAAAGAAACATGTTAAAACTCATCCTTATCAGATGAGGAATATAAATTTAGGTGATATGATTTTACTATAATGAAATTTAAGGGGGGATACGGGCGGAAGTCTTTCCCGATACACGGTAAAATGATACACGTGTATGTTATTGTTTCTGATTTGTTAATTTCCCCAAGAAACTGAAAGTGAAACATCACATCAATATTTGTAGTTAAGGCTTTTATTGATTTCACATGTTACTCAGTACAAGACAGGGCAGGATTTTAAATGTGGCATGTTTTTTTAGCTAGTGTACAACTTCAAAGAATAAGGGAACAAGAAAAAAGCCTATGGTACAGTAACATTAACAACACGTTCTCGTTGTGATCGAAAACTGAACGATTTATGATGTCGAAATAAAATCATTGATAGAATGATATTTTTGAAACATGTATAAACATATGGTTATCCAGTGTGTGTTAATCAACTGCATTCGCTTAAAGTCAAACATTATCTTTATTTACCCTCCTGTAGCCGAACCAGTTTGACCAGCACCAAACGCGTATCCAGTCGCCATTTTGGCGCTTTAAAAGGTGAAGGACGTTCACGACTGCTGAGCAATAATGAATTAATGAATGCAATATATTTTTGTTTTGACATTAAATAATCCCGCAATTTCAGTAAACATGTTCAGAAGTTATACTAGTTTTAAAAAATGATACGAAAAAATAAGCACTGGGGAGGTGTCATGGCGCTGTCTGCTACAGAGGAATAAGGAAGCAAGACATCGCCTGCCGTAATGGACTGTATAAGAACTCCAAAGGTACGGTCATAAATATAATGACAATATATTGAAAGGCATCGGACCTTATTTGTTCATTATTTTAACTCATTTGAGACCTATTACAAGCAATCTCAGAGGCGAGATGCGTCAGGTGATATCTTGTTTTGGTTGGATGGGCTGATCAACTAATCTATGCTGCCAATGACGGAATCCAAATATAAGGCTGTTCTTTTCGTATTTTATGATAATGATGTCCTAATGCCGTAGCAGTCCCGGCTACGTTGGTAGTGGTGATGCCACCGGAAATGAAGGTAAGGAGGTAATAGAATGGGGTGACATGCCTTCCTCATCAATTTGGAACACGTTCTAAATTCCTGGCAATTCCAACACCACCCACAACAGTCGGCTGCAGACGTTTTGTCGTCTGCAACCACGATTTTCATCCAGAAGAGCGATAAAGTCCAGATGTCGGTTTTAATGAGGGTAAATGTGTGATTATATGATTAAACTCTTGGAGTTATTGATATTTGAAATATTTTAAATAATCATGACAGTAAGTCCCAAAACAAATTATTATCTTTGTCAAATGCAACATATTTTGTTAAGTCGTCTGCGGGACATAGCAGATAAGAATCACTTCCTCTTTTCTTTCAAGTGAAAATAATCAATAGGATATTACTTGTTAAAATAAATCAAGGTGTGTTTAAATTTCATGCAGGTTTGGGAACTCTGTGTTCACCACGACAATGCCACTATTCTACATAATTGCGTTATGGAAATTGTTATATGGAAGCTGCATGTTATCAAATGACCTCCATAGTCCTTTGTAGATATATTTCATGATGTGAATGTAACACTAAACACAGTTAAGTCAATAATTTTATCCTATGATATTGGGGTATAGTAACATTTTACAACATCTGTTGTTGCCAAGTCAATTACCAGTATTCTTCCATTATATTTTGACACTGAGTAACTTGCTGTATCCCTGACAGTTGTATCTTGACTGATGAAATGTGTTGGAAAAGTTCCCCTGCCTTTTATTTGCTGGAAGATGACACCACAGAAATGATTCTTTTTCCCTTTGCTTGTTGACGACAGATTTACCAACAGAACAAATTGCATGTATAGGCTGTATCTTTCTTGACAAGATCTTGCTTTGTAAATGTTTTACTAGAGCAAACTAATAACAAGCAATGCATAAATGAGTATATTCAGTGTCAGTTCATGTCAGTAGAGGTCACATTGGGTGTAACATTTTGTTCAAGGTTATTGCACATACAGAACAAGTAATGCCACTTTTATATACTGCTTGCCCATTGTGATACCTTACTTACCCTATTCCCCCAAACATGGTTAACCCACTCAGACACATTATAATGAATCTAAGCCGACCATTCCTTGTTTTATCCCCTCATCCCTAGTCCTAGGTGGTATACAAAGTACATCAACTGGAGATCCAACCACAAATTTTGTGCAAGTGGAGTTGATTTGTAGAGACTGTGTAAAAGTATTTGGCCACATACTGAAACAGTTTCAACTTCTTTATCACTTTTATTGTCCATGTGTACCTGCATTGTTCATAATTGTTTGCTGTGATTCATACTTGAAACTTTTGCAAGTTCCTGTAAAATTTCTTTGTCAGTGTCTAACAAGATTATTGATAAACTTTCATGTCATAACATTGAGGTTTTCTCCTGTAGTATTTGAATTTTAAAGATACCTTCTTTTATCACTGCAGACATGAAAAAGACCCTTCACTAACATAATCAGTTTCAAACAGTGTTGTGCATAATGATATCATATAAATTTCCGAGTCCCGTTCTTGGATTCGAACCACACACCTTCTGATCCGAAGTCGGACGCCTTGTCCACATGACCAAAGAGGTTAACCCCGTCAGCAAGCTGACAAGGTAAGGATGTCATCTGTGGGATGACTCCACGCCTTGCTACATAAATTTGTTTGAAATATCATGTTAAAAAGCAAATTCATGATCCAGCTATCTATTATTTATCAGTTCCTTCTTAGTTCCTTTTTAGTTTGAAGATAAATCATTTGAAATCTTTGCAAATTAAAGAAAAACAAATCTTTTTGATCTTTTCTTTTTCAGGTTAAAAAAACTGTAGAGTTATCTCCCTTCAAGTGATCAGATGCCCCTGTTCGATAGGGTTGTGCATAAATCTATACAAATGGTATATTTTGGTACAATTTTCACAAATGTTTAACCAACACAAACATGTTTCAAACAATATGACCAATACTAGTTTCAGTTCATTCCTTTTTTTAAACCTACAACCTGTTTTTGACTACTTAATGATTACATCATTCACATGCCGACATTGATGTTAGCTAAGGTATGGCAAGTATGGCACCTATCCTGAACGTCACTTGAAGGGGACGCCAGTGAGCAGTTTCTATTAAAAACTATCCCTGTATAGTGAAGAAAACATTTTCTTCAGATTCATGATCTGTTTTTAATAATCCTGGACGAGAAGCACTGTGATGGCTTGATCTTTGAACCATTTATATAAAATATTAGGTAAAAATACATTGTTTGTCATTAGCGCTATTTTCCATAGTTATGCCCCTGCATACTGAATTGGATAAACACATTATCTCCACAGTAAGTGAGTGTAGTAGCCTATTTGGGCACCATAATCCCTGCATGAATTCTTGTATCGAACTAGCACTTAGACACCTCACATCATTGCAGTCAACTTTCAAACAAAAGATAAGCATTTCAAAGATGAGGTACACCTAAATGGCCTGTTGCAAACAATTGCTATAATCAGATCAAGAATATTCTTTGTATTCTATTACTGTCATTAGATAGATTTTTCAGAACACTATTGAACATATATAAGAACATTGCATTTTTAACAAATTTACCTTTTAAGAACTTACAGTAACAAAAACAGAACTTACAGTATCACATTTTATGAATTTAGGGGTAAACTGGGTAACTAACAACACAATGAGAATGTGTAAAATACAAATACCAAAAGTCAAGTGTCACACACAATAGCAGACAAAATTAAAATAACATAAGTTTTTGTACCATTATCCATAGACACCCATGCCCCCTCAGACTCAGCAGAACAATTAGAACGAACAAAGTTACTTGGAATGTTAAGAAACAAAGACATTTTAAAAAGAAAACAAGTTACTAGTTTAATTGCAGTAACTGTTTACTAGTTGCACTTATATATGATTCACTGTAGTTTTTGCATCATAAGTGATTACTTCCCCTACTAAGTTCATGCGCTCTATTGGAACCTCCTTAGATAAGTGCAGTCAGGGTCTCCCTTTCATTTTGAAACATTTACCAACGCATTTTATGAAGTTGAGTGTTTTGTTTAAAATATAACAGAACAACTAACAATACAATGGTACTATATATACAACACATATCTCAAGACTGAATTGTCACAGACAGTTGAAGCCAAAATTTGAAATGCATGAATTTCCTATATATTTACTCATAAACCCCCATGTGGCCACAGCATTTTCACAGAACTATTACAAACAGTACATGTGGAATAGGTATGCAAAAATGTTTAATGTGCTCGTTTTTGGGGAATTTGGAGAGGGAACCTGAAAAAGGTCTGAAAATGTAGTATTACAATTCTGTTATTCAGATTTACCCATGGTTTTATTTGAATATTTCTTTGTGCTTCAAACAAATGTTACCATTTCATTCTAGAAATATCTTTGCAGATGGATGGAAAGGTGGTTGGATTTTGTGCGGAAAGAAAAACATTAGAATTCTCTATTCTTTTTGTTTCCATGTACCTTTTGAGAAATAATACATAATGATTCCTGTTCTCATTTGTGAGTAAATCATTGCTAAAAACTAACATAGTTTGAAAATTGTCCAAAATGAACATACTTAAATGTTCACTGTATTTGGAGAAAATGTATTTTGGTTGTTTGTTTTGTTTTTTTGGTTTGTTTGTTTTGTGTGGTTTTTTGTTTGTTTTTAGGGTTTTTGGTGGGTTTTTTTTTTTTTTTTTTGGGGAGATTCAATTTGGAGAAAATGTTAATTAACTGATTGCAGTATAATGTACAGTTCTTCAAAATTTGCATTCAGATCCAAATTTATGAGCATAACTGATTTTTTAGATCCAGAATTTCAATGTTCTTTTTCAGGTATTATATATTTTGTTGAAAATATTCAAAATTAGTTCCTTGAAACTATTTATATCGGAAATGATTGAATATAGCCCTTAGTATAGACTTTGGATCTACTAAGGAAGACCCATGAAAATGTCACATTATACTGCTTGAAATTGGATATGTAGGGAGCATGTTTTTCAGAATATAATATTATACATTACTGACATATTTATGTAAAGATACTACATATGGGATTTATATCCACTGTCATAGTAAAACCTTAAACCTATACATGGCAACTAAGGAGGCCATGTTTCGAAACCCGTCAACTCAACAAATTCTTCAAAGGCATTTAGAAGTTGGTGTAGTAATACAAGACAAATCTTATGGATAACAACTTCTTTATTTATTTTCACAACGTTTCTGGACTAGTTCTTGCCCCTTCTTCAGGTTGCCCCTTCTTCCACCTGAAGAAGGGGCAAGAACTAGCCCAGAAATGTTGTGAAAATAAATAAAGAAGTTGTTATCCATAAGATTTGTCTTGTATTACAACTCAACAGTGTTCAAATTGAACTAAGTCTAGGGTTCCTTTTCATAACCCTACGGTTAAAACGTTAATATTTTGTGTATTTGTTGATTAAAATTCTACTAGAGCAAACCTCAGTATCCCAGTACCCACCTTAATTTCAAACACTGATTAG